CCAAAACCCCAAAACCCCAAAACCCCAAAACCCCTAATATTTCATAAAATATTGAAGATTTTATAGATATGCAAAATAGGTCTTCACAATTAGAGAAGCTTCACTCTCTGCTTCAGCCTGGGAAAGGGATAAAGGAAGGATTACAATAATAATACGAGGGAGAGAATTCTTTCCAATCACCCAGTAATGAGATGTTGTCACTTGGTACTCAAACATGCTCGAATTTTCTTTAAACTTGTTTACAATGATGTTTATGTAGTGCCTTAATTCCTTGTTCAGCAACTTTTTCGTAAATCTATGAGTCTGCTTATAAGCTAGGTTAGATTCATTATAGTACATCAACTTTATGACCTCTTCAGAATCGAGAGGCTGTTCATCCTTAACAGTGACTTTGGGGTCTACCTTTTCAAACATGCTCTTTCATTTGTTAAAGATATAATCTCCCATTTTCTCGTAAACTTCAAAAGAGAGCCGAAATTTATCCTCTGTTATGAACATAGCAATAGTGAATCCTTCAGCTCAGAATACTAGCAAGCGGTATTGTTTGTAGGAGTTGCTATAAGGGTCTATCCTGATGTAAACTTTAGGACTGAACATCTCGTAATTCCTAGGTATACCCTCAGCATCATGGAAATCCATAATTGTAGGGCCGATCAAAAATCCCTTTTTGTCAAGCCCACTTCCTTGGAATCCCTGTGGGTTTAATTTGCAAAATGCTGAAAAGGATCTTTTGAGAAGATCTTCATACTCAGCTTTAGCCATTTCTGGGTCTTCAGCTAAGAACATTATTTCCTCTTCATCGCTATCCTCCTAAGGGGTGTAATTTAGAGTACTTACTCAGCAATTGGCTCCTCAAGTAGGGATCTTAAATTTATCTCCTTTTTGGTTGGAGTCAGTCCAATTTGGCTACAAGTTTAGTGCAAATCTTACCTCATATCCTTGGCGTCTAGTGTAATTACTTGAGAACAAATATTTATGGAGTATCTCTACCTGCCCCTGAGGCAAGTCGGAGTACAGAAAATACTCTTCATAAAACACAGCAGCCTTGGAGATAGGAAACTCTATTGCTAAATTATTGATTCATTTCTGCACAGAGAGGTAGGTATTCGAGTCTACTGGGCATATCCGATATCCTCGGATAACAACGCTGTTGAAGAAGCTTTCCACTAGGATTTTAACACAGATTCTTACTGATATCAGTCTTGTAGAAATATTTCTCAAAATTATATGTAAAATCTCCCATTATCACTTTGAAGTGTTCTTTGCCCTTCTCATATAGTGTGGCAAATGAACCATTGAACAATCTGAAAAACTCATAATACAGTTTAAGACAATCAATGAAGATCTGCGAATCTTCTTCCTTAAACGTGGAATATAGTGGGTCAAAATTACTCACAGACATGTTTTCTACACACTCTGAGTCTTCCTGGTCCTAGAAATTATTACTGATGATCTCACCTTGTCGTTGAAAAGAGTCAGGCTGGATTCTGAGTAACCTGAATAATCTTCATTTACATGTGAATCATGGGAGATCAACATTCACAAGAAGAAATTCTGCTCAAATTCTTTAACTGCTACTGAGTAAAGATCTGTGTTGATAATCTCAATTGGATTATCTTTATATCCATCTTCTTCAGACAAGAAGGTTGTCATGTAGTCATAGATGCCTTCTCAAATACCTGTTTGCTTCCTAAAAGAGATGGTGGAATGCTAAATCTAGGGAACTTACCTTCGCTCATGCTCATCTACCCAATGAGGATAATAGAATAGGATTTTTATTCCGACTGGCACAGATCCTCATCATGCTTTAATTCTTTGGCTGGTTTCAACGTCGGGTTGAACAAGAATACACTCAAAGATACAGGTTCAGTCTGTGGATCTCTCTCAGGCTCCATTATTCCTTAAATTCCTTATTAATTATTCACAACTAGTTGACTTATTTTGGGGTTTTGGGGTTTTGGGGTTTTGGGGTTTTGGGG